TATTGTGGCCAACAAAACGGCAATCAAGGAAGCTGTTCTTGCAAAAGGTGCAAATTTATTTTTGAAACAGAGATCGCAAGTACATACTCGAAGATGTTGAGAGACTGTTATTGGTGTGGATAAACGAAAAACAGATAGCAGGAGATACCATCTCTCAAGCGATCATATGTAAAAAGGGTGGGAAATACGTACTATCGTACCACGGTCAGCTGCTGCTGCACAACAGTCAGCTGCTGCTGCACCACAGTCAGCTGCTGCTGCACCACAGTCAGCTGCTGCTGCACCACAGTCAGCTGCTGCTGCACCACCATCAGCTGCTGCTGCACCACAGTCAGCTGCTGCTGCACCATGGTCACCTGATGCTGCACCAGTCATCTGTTGCTGAACCATGGTCAGCTGCTGTTGCACCATGGTCAGCTGCTGCTGCACCACAGTCAGCTGCTGCTGCATCAAAGTCAGCTGCTGCTACACCACCATCAGCTGTTGCTGCACCACGGTCAGCTGTTGCTGAACCATGGTGAGCTGCTGCTGCACCACGGTCAGCTGCTGCTGCACCACAGTCAGCTGCTGCTGCACCACAGTCAGCTGCTGCTGCACCACCATCAGCTGTTTCTGACCAACATGACTCGTCCCGAACCTGTCCATCTAGCCTGAGCGTCTCAGCTGGACTGCCGTCATTGTTTACAAGCCAGGGTGGCTGGTTGCATGCATACATTCGATTCATTTTGTATTATTCCATTCTTTATAGTGCTTGTAACTGCTAAATAAGCCACCATGGGCCCAAAGAAAGCTTCTAGTGCCAACCCTGTGGTAAAAAGGGTGAGAAATATGTACTATCGTACCACGGTCAGCTGCTGCTGCACCACCGTCAGCTGTTGCTACACCACAGTTGGCTGTTGCTGCACCACGGTCAGCTGTTGCTGCACCATGGTCAGCTGTTGCTGAACCACGGGCAGCTGCTGCTGCACCATGGTCAGCTGCTGCTACACCACCATCAGCTGCTGCTGCACCACAGTCAGCTGCTGCTACACCACCGTCAGCTGCTGCTGCACCACGGTCAGCTGTTGCCGCACCAGTCAACTGTTGCTGAACCATGGTGACTGTTGCACCACGGTCAGCTGCTGCTGCACCACAGTCAGCTGCTGCTGCACCACAGTCATCTGTTGCTGCACCATGGTCAGCTGTTGCTGCACCACGGTCAGCTGGTCCTAGTGGCATTAAAAGAAGAAGGGAAGTAACCCTGGAAAAGGACGTGCTACCTAAAGTCCTAATGGAAGGGGATTCCCCTTCTAAACATTAACAACTTCCATACTCTCCCCTCCTCCCATACCATCAATCATCACCAGATCTTCAATAAAGGTAAGTGTCAGTTTGTGTGTATTAAAATCAATATTTCATGTGGTAATTTTTTTTTTTTCATAATCTGTGGTGTCTTGCATGGATTAATTTGATTTCCATTATTTCTTATGGGGAAAATTAATTCAGCTAACGATAATTTCAGCTAACAATAAGCTTTCAGGAACGGATTAATATCGTTAGCTGAGGGTCCACTGTACTCCATTCTACTGAATGCACAGCAACATAGTAAATGACAATATGACCTGTCTTTGAAATACTCACTTGTGCTTAATTGTTATTTGTTTACAATAATGTTTACCACTGAATATATCATGGATTAATTAATCTTAAGTTAATTTTAAGCCTGCCCATAATGCTCTGCATACAAGGGGCTTTGGCATGTTACACTTAACCACTGTATTTCCTTGTACTTCTATGTATCATGTTCAAATTAATAATAAATAAATAAATAAGTAGGGGAGTTAGTAGATGGGGAGAGGGAGGTATTAGGTAGATGGCGAGAATATTTTGAGGAACTTTTAAATGTTGAGGAAGAAAGGGAGGCGGTAATTTCATGATCAATTTATTTAGTATTAAGTCTGTCCATAATGCCTAGGCATGATAGTGGCTCTCTCTGCACTGCAACTCATTATTGTAATTTCATATTCTCCATGTAATCTTGCAAAGAAATAAAATTTGTTTGTTTGTTTGTTTTTGTTTTATCATAGATTCATGCTTATTCTTCTTGGCACCTCTGGTATCACTATTATTCCTTTTGGGCGCCATCTCATCCTTAGATGAGATGGCGCCCAGAGATGAGACGACGAAAAGGTAAAAAAAAAAATAACTTTACAAACGTGGAGTGAGGCTGGCCCAACAAACTACAAGAATGCAACTTTCGGTGATTTGAGTATGGGAAAAATTCTATGGTTGTGGCAGTACCCAAATTTTGCATGTTTGCATGGCATGTCGTGCTTCTTCACATTTTTTGGTGTTTTTTTTTATATTACAGCCTCTCCTCACTTAACTCTTTCAGGGTTTCTGACGTATTAGTACGGCTTACAACCCAGGGTTTTTGACATACTAGTACGCCTAAATTCTAGCGCCCTCAAATCTAGTGAGAGAAAGCTGGTAGGCCTACATATGAAAGAATGGGTCTGTGTGGTCAGTGTGTGCAGTATAAAAAAAATCCTGCAGCACACAGTGCGTAATGAGAAAAAAAAAATTTGACAGTGTTTTTGGTTTAAAACAGCGAATTTGCACTATATTTTTGTATGGTATTTACCTGGAGTTTACCTGGAGAGAGTTCCGGGGGTCAACGCCCCCGCGGCCAGGTCTGAGACCAGGCCTCCTGGTGGATCAGAGCCTGATCAACCAGGCTGTTGCTGCTGGCTGCACGCAAACCAACATACGAGCCACAGCCCGGCTGATCCGGAACTGACTTTAGGTGCTTGTCCAGTGCCAGCTTGAAGACTGCCAGGGGTCTGTTGGTAATCCCCCTTATGTGTGCTGGGAGGCAGTTGAACAGTCTCGGGCCCCTGACACTTATTGTATGGTCTCTTAACGTGCTAGTGACACCCCTGCTTTTCATTGGGGGGATGGTGCATCGTCTGCCAAGTCTTTTGCTTTCGTAGTGGGTGATTTTCGTGTGCAAGTTCGGTACTAGTCCCTCTAGGATTTTCCAGGTGTATATAATCATGTATCTCTCCCTCCTGCGTTCCAGGGAATACAGGTTTAGGAACCTCAAGCGCTCCCAATAATTGAGGTGTTTTATCTCCGTTATGCGCGCCGTGAAAGTTCTCTGTACATTTTCTAGGTCGGCAATTTCACCTGCCTTGAAAGGTGCTGTTAGTGTGCAGCAATATTCCAGCCTAGATAGAACAAGTGACCTGAAGAGTGTCATCATGGGCTTGGCCTCCCTAGTTTTGAAGGTTCTCATTATCCATCCTGATGGTATTCTAATTTTCCTGGTCTCATTTTATAGAATGGAAGGCATATTACAGAAATTGAGATGATTATGATTGGTTTTACAATGAAAAGTACCTTGAAATTGAGCTCAAAGTAGCAGAAATGTTCAATTTTTACCAAAGTTCAAAAGTAAACAAATCATGCTACGCGTCCAATACACGTTAACTGGTGAGTCTAATATTCTTTCACAAGTGCGCTGATATTATTTATACCATTTCTACACTAATGCAGTAGTCTGCATAACAGTAAATCTTCTATTTTTTGTGAGAATAAAAATTCAAAGTGGAAAGCAAAAGAATGTAAGAGGGGCGTGGGGATGTGACTAATGAACAGAGGAAATGTTATTTTAGTGCCAGGAATGTCTTTCTTATTTATTCTGGACCCTATTTGGAAATTGCCATCTTTTGAAATTTGTGTGAAATTGGTAAAATTGCTAAATTCTTACCACTTTATTGGATAGTTGAAACCAGTAAATGGGTGGTTTCTTGTACTCATTCGATAGAAAAAATGGAGTTCTAGTGAAACAGTTATGATTTTTGTCGATTAGTACACTGGAATTGGCCAAAAATAGGGCTCAAAGTGGGCAAAATCGCTGATGCGTAAACATCGTCGAGACCGCTAACTTCGCGAGAGCATAATTCCGTATGTTTTCCATCAAATTTCATACTTTTGGTGTCATTATGATCAGGAAAAGATTCTCTATCTTTTCATAAGAAAAAATAATTTTTTTTTTTAATTTGTTAACCCTGAGAATAAGTCTGGGAGAGGGCTGTTGACCCTGAAAGTGTTAACGACAGAGTTCTGTTCCTAAGCTCACATTGTTAAATGAATTCGTCACTAAGTGAGGAGCATACTATAATGGTAGTGGGTTTGTGTCAACCTTCTTTGATATTGTTTTATTGTCACCTTTGCACCATTTATAACATTTCTGGTATGTTTTTAAATGTTTATACAGTAGTGTACGTGTACTATATATTGAAATAAACAGAATAGAGGAAATCAGCTCTAATATACATTACATATTTAGGTATAAATACTGGTCAGAAAGCCTGTCGTAAGTCAAAGGCATCAGTAAACGAGTACGTCACTAAGTGAGGAGAGGCTGTATTTGTATAAGTAAATCACCATGGGGCCTAAGAGGGCTAGTGATAACAACCAACCAAAAAAAAATTGGATGTGAAAAATTAGTTCTGTACTCGAACAGATCGGCACTTGAACAGCCTTCTGGAATCTATTAAGTTCGAGTGCCAAGGTTCCACTGAACAGGAGGGTCCTGCTCATACAGCAGGTTAGATCCCAGGCTACTGCTGTAAAGTGAAAATAATTTTTCACTTTCAAATGCATATAAAAGCCTAATAACATTTTTACACTATCATATATTAATTGAGCAATAGAGCTAGGCCTAAAAAAATGTATATACAGCATACATATATATTACTTACCTTAAAATATTTTCATACTTAGCTTATAATGAGTGGTAAACATATTTATTGTAGGAAGTCTGAATCAATGAATAATAGGTATAAGACTGTACAGCAAAGTGGTGTAAAGCAGGGCCCTCCTGTATACAAGCTCAAAACAACTTATATTAAGAAGATATGTAAAATAATCCAAGCATGGTTATTCTATATATCTGCATATATAACCTATATTAAATATATTAACACTAAAAATAAATAAAACAATTGAGTTACCTTTTCTACTGCACAAACTTGTTGTTGTGGACTCCTGGGTGCAATAAGATCATTAAAAGCTTCTTTGATCACCTCTTTTGCATCATCTGAAGTAGAAAACATAACACCTCCTTCATTTCTTATTAAGGCGGATAAAACTGGACAATGAATTTTCAAAATGGCCTCAAAACCTATAAAATTCTCATACTGTTTTTGAGTTTTTCCATACAAAAAGAAAGATAAATGTATTCCAATTCTGGATGTTCATTTTTTTTATTGGGCAGCATTCAGTGTTTCTGGTGTTTGTTTGAAGCTCCATTGTTACTTAGTGTTGCATACAGTGGAAGTAAAACTGAGTGACAGTAGAATGCAGACAATCAGAATGTACCTGCCAGTATCATGATGCTTTGAAGTACAATATGAAAAACATTCTGGGACTAGCCTGATGAAAGTTTCATGAACACAAAACTTATTAAGCATATAGTACACCTAAAATAGACAAAGGACCAACCTCTCACTTTTTTAGCTTCCCCCAACAGAATACTGCTATCTGTTGCTTATATAAGCTGGTCGTCATTCTAGTGAAACCATTCATCACACAACAGCTGAGTCAGTCAACATGGAGTGGTGGCAGCATGTGTGGTTGTAATGAATATGGTTGTAGAAGGAAAGGATGAAGCTCATCAAACCAACTGCAGGACATATTTAATACAACAAAATGTAATATTCATTCAGTTCAGTTATACTTCCTGTCTTCCCATTCCAAAAGAATCAAGTTCTCTGTTGCTAATATAATCAGCTCATTCTAATCACAGAATGGGTGGGACTTCAACCCATGGCAAATGAGTTCTGAAACTTACAGGCCATGGGTTCAAGTTCCACCCGTCCCATGATTAGTTTACAATCATGTTATTACTATTTCGTGAGTCATCAGATCACTCTATTGGAACAACCATTTATGTCACCTGATGTAGGGAGGTGGCAGCTTGTGTGGTTCATGAAACCACTTCCAGAAGGACATTTTTAAAACAACAAAATGTAACATTTTGGGAATTAGTTCTGATAAACCTCACAAAAGTATATTAATAGCACCACAATGGAGAAGGCAGCTACAAAGTAAAGATGGATACTGTAGGATTGTTACAGTTAACTTGGAACTCAGGGTGGTTATCTGTGACTGGCAGGAATATCAATCACATGGCCAGGAGAGGTAGCAGAAGAGAAATTTGAATCATCATAGGGATCTCTTGAAATGGTAGGAAAAACTAAGAAACAGGAAGAACAGAGAAGATGTGTACCTAAGGACCCTACTAGAGTCTGCAGCCATCTGCTAAGGGGATCTAATAAGGATGGGTGATGATGAGTAGGATATTTCAACAAGTGCAGACAATATATGAATTACAAAATACAGTAAGGAATTTTGCCTCATAGTAGGTCATATTCAACAGATCAACAGAAACAAATTTATTTTCAGTGTGAAATTTTTGAAGGCAAATGCAGTGACATCTAGCACAGATATAGGTTTTAGAGTGTCTTCAAAACTTATGATGATTAGGATTAGTCTGCCCGAAATGTCCCAGCATGACAGTGGCTTTCTTCATACTTAGCAAACCAAAATTGTAATTACACATTGCAACCTTTACAAAGGAATAACCCTTTATCTTTATCTTTTTTATCTATTACCAGTATTACACAATTATATATACCTGTAACACTGCATGTTAATGAACTGTAGACCTAAATTAATTTTATGTTACATCTAACAGATCTTTCTATGAAGAATGCAGTATTTGGATAATTTAGTTGTAGAGTATTACATACATGGAAGATGTATATATATTCACTGTACTGTAACACACACACAATCACATTGAGAACTTGATTATACTGCAGCGATGGTCTAATATTCCATGGGAATACTGGTCACTCCCATAAATTGGCTTACTAAACTGACATTCATGAAGGTGCTGTGATCATATCACTCCACCAAATAAAATGGAATGAACAATCTTAAAAGCAGTTGAAGTTTATGTTAGGTATGGAGATTTTTCCTCCGAGACTTAATAAGTTTTTATAGACAATGATGCACACTATAGTGCTTGACTTAATCTAGATTTTTATTGGATCAAAGTTTTACAATACAATCTCTCTCCTACTTACAAACAGGTTGGGTTCCGAGTGGTCATACTTAAGTCCATTTGTTCATAAGTCCAACATACATGTGTACAGTGGACCCCCAGTTAACAATATTTTTTCATTCCAGAAGTATGTTCAGTTGCCAGTACTGACCGAATTTGTTCCCATAAGGAATATTGTGAAGTAGATTAGTCCATTTCAGACTCTCAAACATACGCGTACAAACGCACTTACATAAATACACTTACATAATTGGTCGCATTGGGAGGTGATCGTTAAGCGGGGGTCCACTGTATATGTACAGTGGAACCTCAGTTTTCGTATACCCTAGTTGGAGACAATTCTTGAAGAAAATTCTCTATAAAATGTATTTTTTGTTAATATTTTTCAGTGTCTGGAACAGATTAATTGGTTCCATTCCAGACACCCAAAAATATTCACAAAAAATACATTTTATAGAGAATTTTCTCCAAGAATTGTCTCCAACTAAGGCATACAAAAACTGAGGTTCCACTGTATACAGTATTGTACAGTAGTGTAGGATATGTGTGTATGAACATCGAGTAACCAGGAAGTGTACTACATAGTTGAAACATATATGTGAACACAAGAAAAATATAAAAAATACATTATGTCCACTTTTGTTTCCATTGTCATGGCCTGGCATTTCTTAGCACTACCACCTGCATCACCACTGCTTTTGTGCTTAACACCAGACATACTAGGGGTGAAGCTCTGAAGTTTTGAGACTCTGATCGCAGGTTCTAACCCTGCCCATGGTATGGTTTGTTTGCAATCGTGTCATTATGATTTCGTGAGTCATACTGGTGGTATAATAATCAGAAATAACAATGAATTTGTGGAGAGAGCACAAGCACCTGTATGAACGATGCCACTAGAGTAACCTACTATGCATTGTTTACCTCATGGAACTTCTTGCAAATTGTTCGTATTTTTGAAAGTTTGCAACATGAATGTTCATATGAAAGGGACTCTCTGTACTGACATGTTTATTTATCAACCTGTCAGTAATGAATACCTTTGATCTAATGATACTTTTGTGACACAGCAACAACATGGAATCTTGGTACAGAGGATATCTTCTACAACTCTATTGCTAACCTCTATCCCATGCTATAGGCACGATACACTACCAGTGAGTCTAGCCCACCTATGTTCATATCTACAATTGTTGCAACTCACCACGCCTTCCACTGGCTCAACTATATGTCTCAGTCATCACATGCCTATATTAATTTAAAAAAAAAAGCTACTGTGTAGGTGCAACATCTCTTCAATAAAGATACGTACTTAGCCACTGTATGTACATGTGAATTATTCAGAATATAAATGTACCAGTTTTCTCTACTGAAGCCTCTTTGCTTATGTTGTTTCAAGAAGTTAATTAATGTTTTGTCTATTCAACCACAAATTTTGCTGCTCTAGGGTACTGTATACCAGAGCTTACCTAGTGGTTGTGTCAGCCCTTGAAGGCAATTCTAATACACATCAATGTGAAACATAAATAATTGAAAAAAAAAAGCCCAATACCAGTAAAATGTTTTACTGTAACATGATCATTACCACACACAAAATAGTCAATTATCTACAGAAGTTAGTTTTTCAACTTATATTACAGTAATGTCATTTGTCACTCTAAATATTTAATGTTGCAAGATGTAACTAAAAAAATAACTTCCCCTTATTTAATCTGAAATAACTAAGGTATCAAACCCCTTAGGATTTAGTACCTCAAATGAAATGTCTATGCAGTAGAAATCAAGTAACCATTTGATACAAAATATAGTACATTATACAGTACTGTATTGATTACTTCCTGGTAAAAATCTGAATACAGCACTGGAGTATACCTGGAGTATGAATGGAGAGGGTTTGGGGGTCAGCGCCCCTGCGGCTCGGTCTGAGACCAGGCCTTGTGGTGGATCAGGGTCTGATCAACCAGGCTGTTACTGTTGGCTGCATGCAGCTTGACATACAAACGACAGCCTGGCTGGTCAGGTACTGACTTGAGGTGCCTGTCCAGTGCCTTCTTGAAGACAGTCAGGGGTCTATTGGTAATCCCCCTTATGTATGCTGTATCAGTATCTTTAAATTCTAATGGGGAAAGGAGGAGAGGAGGAGGAGGAGGTGGCAAGTTATGGCAACTGTAATGGACAAGAGATGAAATATTTTGTTGTGATTGTAACAATAATGGACATTTCTGTAACCAGCAGACTTTATTCATTGTTTCTAAATCACCTGACCCAGCAGATTTTGCTCCATATTTCCAAAGTCCATTAAATCGAGCTTGAATAAATTGAGAGTTAAGTGTACAGAATATTCATGGGGAAGAGCTAAAACAGTAAGGATCATACAATGCCTTGGCAATGGGAGGCAATCAGCTTTGATCCAAGAAAGTTGAGGGGTAACTCCAATTCCTTAAATCAAGAACACTTCAACAGCAGTAGGGACAAAATTTCAATAAATGCCTACCTGGAGGGGGAATTTTAAAAATGAGTTTCTTTCCCTTGTGAAATTTTTGAACCTTTCCCCCCTTTTTTGGGAAAAATCCCCTGTGTATTTAGGGTCATGATGGTGTAAGGTTTATCCCAAAGCTTTCCCTCCCTGCAATAAAAAAAAGGCAAAAACCCTTAATTGAATAATTTCAAACCCTTTCCCAAACAAAAATTTTCAAAAACCTAAAAATGGAATTTTTATTAAATTAAAAATCCATTAAAAAATTTTTCTTATTTTAAAATAAGAAAATGAAAAGTTAAAAGTAAAATGACAATATATGCCAAAACCCCAGTGGGCAGGTGAAAAAATGGAGGTTAGGGGGGGGTGGATGATGGTGGGGGAGTGGGGGGGGACTGAGTTTCTTGGGGATGGGGGGGTGGTGGAGCAGGGCAAGTGAATGTTGTAGGGGGAAGCAAGTATGTTTGACAGATTGGCAAGTTGGGAGGGTTTGGGGAGGGGATTGGGGGGTTTTTGGGGGGCAGGTAAGTTTTTTTTAGGTGGGGGAACAAGTGATTAAATGGATGGTGAGCATGTAAGGGGAGCAGGGCATGGAAATGGAGGCATTTCAAAATATCTAAGATCATAAGTTAAAAATTTTACTTTCAATTCCCCCCAAATTTTTAATTAATTTTTTTTTGTACCCCCTCACTAAAACTAAACCAAAATTAAATTTCTAAATGTTGATGTATAATTTTCAATCATAATCTAAAGTACCCACTGTTGAAACCCCCCCAGTGATCAAACAACAAAAAAGCTCCCAAAACCATTCTTCCTCTTCCCCAAAAAGTAAATGGGGGGCCCATGATTTAAGTGATGAGCAAAACGACGGTGAATATATTTGGGTTTTTTTTCCCCGTTGCAAAATAGTTTTTAAAAATTGTCCAAATTTTTAAAAAAAAATGGGGACAAAACCTAAAATAAAAAAACTTTGCCCAACCAAAACAAACATAACCTTTTGTGACCTTTGTAATCTGAATATCCCAACCTAATTCCCAAACCAATGTAACCCAAAAAAGCAACCTAACAAAAAATCCAACTTTGGGCCCAGTTTCAAAAGAATAATTAATTTTTACATGCATAGAAAAGATCTTTTTTTTTTTAACAAACCTGGCCATCCTCATCAAGACAGAGTGACCCAAAAAAGAAGAAACAACTCCACCATCATTCACTCCATCACTGTCTTACCAGGGGTGCCGATAATACAGTTCAAAAATGCAAATATCTCCACCCCTCCTTCA